GGGGTTACGTGACCACACTTCACCGGTGCGGGTTGTTAAATGCGGAGAGCATAGGCGTGGGGGGCATAGAAGTATACCGTAATCTGGCCAATGACAACACGGTGCTTACCCATCCAAGCAGCATCCAAACCCGAGGCGGCTTCGCTCCCGAGATCTGACGGGGCAATGTAAATCTACTTAGAAAAAAACGAATCTCAAAAACGAGGATGCAGTGGATTGATAGGAACTTTTATTTATACACTGAATATATACACACAAAGAGGGGCAATGTCCCATTTCGATTGAAAATCCGCAGCTAAATACCTTGTTTCCAGGTTATGAGGTGCACCGGCCAAGGTGACAGGGCGGTTCAGAGGTCAGAGCGCTGAGCCGGCACCAGCAAGTTCCTGGGTTTGAATCCAAGACTACAGTGTGCGTGAAATCGGCTCAGCCTATCATCATCATCATCATCATTCCAAGATAATCTAATTGGCAATTACTTTGTAGGACGTCACAAGTGGTTGTCCTACGTTGAGTAATGCTACTCGTCGTAGGAATGTGGAATATACACCACTGAATATACACCACTGAATATACACCACTGAATATACACCACTGGATATACACCACTGACTATACACCACTGAATATACACCACTGAATATACACCACTAACTATACACCACTGAATATACACTACTGGATATACACCACTGAATATACACCACTGGATATACACCGCTGGATATACAACACTGAATATACACCACTGAATATACACCACTGAATATACACCACTGAATATACACCACTGAATATACACCGCTAAATATACACCACTGAATATACACCACTGAATATACACTACTGAATATACACCACTGAATATACACCGATGGATATACACCACTGAATATACACCACTGATATACACCACTGAATATACACCACTGAATATACACCACTGGATATACACCACTGATATACACCACTGAATATACACCACTGGATATACACCACTGAATATACACCACTGAATATACACCACTGGATATACACCGCTGGATATACAACACTGAATATACACCACTGAATATACACCACTGAATATACACCACTGAATATACACCACTGATATACACCGATGGATATACACCACTGAATATACACCACTGAATATACACCACTGAATATACACCACTGGATATACACCACTGAATATACACCACTGAATATACACCACTGATATGCACCACTGAATATACACCACTGGATATACACCACTGAATATACACCACTGACATACACCACTGAATATACACCACTGATATACACCACTGAATATACACCACTGAATATACACCACTGAATATACACCACTGACTACACCACTGAATATACACCACTGAATATACACCACTGGATATACACCACTGGATATCCACCAATGAATATACACCACTAGATATACACCACTGGATATACACTACTGAATATACACCACTGAATATACACCACTGACTATACACCACTGGATATACACCACTGAATATACACCACTGGATATACACCGCTGGATATACAACACTGAATATACACCACTGAATATACACCACTGAATATACACCACTGAATATACACCACTGATATACACCGATGGATATACACCACTGAATATACACCACTGAATATACACCACTGAATATACACCACTGAATATACACCACTGGATATACACCACTGGATATACACCACTGAATATACACCACTGAATATACACCACTTAATATACACCGATGGATATACACCACTGAATATACACCACTGGATATACACCACTGGATATACACCACTGAATATACACCACTGAATATACACCACTGAATATATACAACTGAATATCCACCACTGAATATACACCACTGATTATACACCACTGAATATACACCACTGAATATACGCCACTGAATATACACCACTGAATATATACAACTGAATATCCACCACTGAATATACACCGCTGGATATACACCACTGGCTCCTGGCAGCTAACAGATATGAGCGCCGCCTAAGGGGCATTTGGCCGGGTCACCTTTGTGTCACGGGTCACCACTGGGACAGCACCAGAGACGGGCATCGTTTACAGTTCGTATGTATGTATGTATGGTGAACTTCTTTCGCACCGTACGTAGTCAACCGCGCTAATCGGAGGTGCGGGGGAAGGACAAGTTCAGTGGTGACGCTGGAAGAGTTTCATTTATTCAAATCTATATTATTATTACTAAGTTTGTTTACCCAGGAAAGGTGAATTGAGTCTTGTGACGCTTTTTCAGGAGGGATCCCACCACGTTTTTCAATGAGCTATTATTGAATTGGGATGTTCCACATGTCGCGCCGGAGTAATTTAAGGGCATTGCTTTATTTAAATTTGGCGCTGTGAAGCATACGGCGTTTTTGTTTTTGTTTAAGGATTTACACACCCGCAGTATTAATCAGGGCGGCCGCTCGAACCAAACCGAACCAAACGTGAACTTCTGCAACCCGCGACTCCGCAGCCGCATGCGACTATTTACGGACTGCTTCGCGACGTAATGTTTGTATTTATTCACGTGCATTGCGGCTCTCGAAATATTTTGTTCTGTACCGAATTCGAAAAAAAAACAAATGGCTCTTCTTGTTATGTTGGTTTGCCGACCCCTGAACTTAAGCCATGTAAACGCTCACGATACATTCACGTATCGTGTCGCTGTGCGTAAGCATTCCGCTACGACTGTTATGTTAAGGAACGAGGCTGCACGAGGCGGACGTGGAGACGAGACAGCACAGACGGTGTAGATGAGAAACAGCACAGGCGAGAAGAAGAGACAGCGCAGCCGAAACAATAAAACAAACGCGCCACGCAATACAAACGAGAAGGTACAGATGATACCGTCCTGAGAAGATGGTACCGGCGGAGACACTCCCAACGAGACGGACGACGCAAACGAGACAGTGCGGACAATGCCGAACGAGACACGTGTCGGTACAAGCCGTGTCACGTAGACGAGACACAACTCAATCAAGTCTTGAATCGGATCGTGAGCCGGAACTGTGACAGTCTAACCACGAATGCGAATCGTGACTCGCCTGCTTTCGATGAATAGCGGCTGGTGCAGTACCACAAATAAGAGGCCCAACAATGCACCGATCCCTGTAGGCGATCAAGCGCACGGTGCATGCACCGAATCGTCTGAGATTCTGTGTGGTGTGCTGTTAGCGTGCTGCGGCATGCACCCGTTGGCCCCAGTTCGATTCCCGGCCACGGCTATCAACAGTGGCAAATTAAATCAAAACCGGTCCTGCCCCCCCCCCCCCCCCCCACCAGTTCCCGTCTGTCACCAGTTTACACTGACCAGTGTGGTGAAGTATGGTAAAAGCAAAAACCCGTGACCGACGGATATGGCATAGTGGATTGAGAATGGCTGGACATTTTATTTTATTTTAACATACGGTACATAAAGTATGTAAAGACGGTTCACGTGACCAGCAGCAAGTCGAGGCAGCTACATTCACAATGTTAAACATTAGGAGGCGATGCTCTGGTTGAATAGCCGTGAATCGTGAGTTGTCGGGTGGTGTGGAGGCGAACCGCTCCGACCCCTGGGCGCCCCGTTTCAGCACCACGGACAGCGGCCTCTCATTAATGATGCATGGCTGGGTCCCTGTTGAAAGGCGACGCGCATAGCCCTATACAGTAGCAGTCCGGGCAATTTGAGCCTCGAATAACAGAATTTACAATAATAATACAGTAACAGCTTCGATCATACTATAGCAAATATTATTTACAATACGCAAGCGATAGGCAGCGTACACCAGTTCTACCTGCTTTTAATCTCCAGGTTTATTCCTACTTTATGGTATTTATTTGGCCAAGTGACAGCACATTGAGATGATACACGTGCCTTGTATTCAAATAAAAAAGAGACCTGGGGTGTTATGTTTGTAATATAATGATGGCAATCTCTAATTCTGCATCATGTAATGCCAGCCACTGTTTCAATGTTACAGGATCTGTATACGGTTGTGTTGGCGGACAGCCGTGTGTTAAAATAATAAAGCGGCACGGGCGTGTTCTGGTCAAATACAGTGAATAATATTAGCATCCAGCAGCCCAATGAGCCCTCTGGATCAATGGAGCTGTCGCCTCGGCCCTAAAGACATTTGCTCACACACTGAACATCGGCAGCAATCGACGACAGGTTGCCATTACTGTAGCGGATTAAACACAGCACATGGAGCCGCCCTCGTCGACGCGAGCAGCACACGGACGAAGCAAACAGAGAGACCCCAAACATTTTAAACATCAACATGCCTCGTATTCAAATCTGCACCAAGACCAACATCAATCTGCCGTCCTTTCACAAGGCCACACGACAACCCACGCTCAGCAAAGTTGCTGCGTTAGCATTAAATTGGACTGTGCCAGTATCGCCCCAGCCTGCAGGGGGTGGTGATGGCAATGGTTTGTTGGCTAAAGCATATTACTACTGTACTGGATTATATGCACACGCATGCATTTTTTTCAGTTGGGAAAATATACGATGCAATTAACAGTTATGTTACTGTTCAAATGTTTGGGTTCAAATACAATAAATATTGAGCGTGTAAAATACATTGTGTGCTGGGGTATTATTGTATATGTATACAATGTGGTATGATTTATTTGTTGTTATGCGATGTTATACTTGTTTAATGTATGCATTACGTTGTGGTTGGTGCAGAGCTGAATCGAGATTTGTCATTAGACACAAATTTTAATCATCGCACATATAACACCACACAAACACAGCAACAAAAACACAACACGACACCACACACCCTGCCAGATATACGCACAGCCTAGCAACTACAAAATATAACACACACAGCAGCACATGCAATGCATATACCGTACACATCAGTAAACACAACAGCATATAACACACAATACTATACACAAACACCACACAGCACAACATGCATCAATACTTACACACAACATTACACACAACACGTACACGTGGCACAAACACGAGTAATTAAATGCATTTACGCAGCAACACACACACACTGCAATAAGCACAGCCATACACAGTGACACACACTCAAAGCACACACACCCTCTCTCCCCCCCCCAATCGCCAATCGAATGGTTCTGCCTCATTGAACCCCGAGAACGAAGGCAAGGAAGAGGCATCGTCCCTCGCCTAGGTAGGCTTCGTGCTTCTGCATCGACAGCGGGGCAGGTAGGGCTCGTTTGTCCGTCCATCATCGCATCAGACAAAGCAGAGCCACTTTCACACGGGCAACCGCAATCGTCACCGGGTACGCAATCTCACCCGCGCGTACACTGTGACGCCTGTGTGGCTGTCGGAGTACGCCCAATTGTATCTGTATGCGGCGCGTGAAACATGTGTGTGTGTGTGCGCGCGCACGTGTGTTACAACGCAGGTGAGTGTGTGTGGAGCGGGGAGCGCGTGGCGCAGTGGTTGACGCGCTGAGCGACGGGCCCGGCCAACTGAGTTCGATTCCGGCTCACGAACAATAACAGCGGCGAATATTTGATCCGGTCCTGGGCCTTCACCCGAGGTTGATTCAGTCCTTAAACGAGTACTGTACCTCGTGTGGGGTGTAAAGATTAGCATAGTGGAGACAAAGGCGGACGGGCGTGGTGTTAGACACCCACACCCCACTGGTGTGGCGTTCCGGCCTTCATAGGGACCTTCATAGGGGCCTTCATAGGGGCCTTCATAGGGGCCTTCATAGGGACCTTCATAGGGACCTTCATAGGGGCCTTCATAGGGACCTTCATAGGGACCTTCATAGGGGCCTTCATAGAGGCCTTCATAGGGACCTTCATAGGGACCTTCATAGGGACCTTCATAGGGACCTTCATAGGGGCCTTCATAGGGGGCTTTCTAACAGCAAGCACTTTCCCCAACAGCTTGTGTTAGGGCAACATAGGGTACCTTTGTCTTTGTGTGTATACATGTGTGTGCACCTACAGCGACAGATGTATACTGGTTGTCGTGTGCCGGGCGCTGACATTTTTACGAGTTAGCGACCCTGAAAGAACTGGCTAAATGTAATGCCTAAGCATGTGTGTGTGTGTGACATTGCATCATGAATGCCGCTTCGGAGGGTGATGTGCATGTTGCATACATTCTGAGGATTACAGAATGTAGCCAACGAGAACTATTAACATCTGAACAGATGCTGGGAGTTCTGGCATTCTATATATATTGTGTATAATCAACATGTTACTTCTTAAACGACAACAAGAAATTGTTTAATATGTATTTGAGTTTTGTTTGCCACCATTACAAATGTGTCATTTTTTCAATAGCACAAGAAGTGGTTATATTGAGGATGTTTATAATTAAATAAGGCCAATGAGTTATACATCAATAGACTACGCACATTATGTATTTCAAGTGACTGTCAGTGATTTGTGTTGTGTATTAAACATGAAGTATAAATGTAGCAACATACAGCACTGCACTGTGCAGTGTTACCCTACATCATATACATTCACTGTCGGGGCAATGCTCACTGTTAGCGAGCACCTATTGCGGACGGCACTGCGCGCATTTAAGAAAAATAATTGTGGTGCCCGTTGTGTGGAGGGGCGATATGCACGCCCGAGCGTTTTGTTTAAAACCCCAGTGTTAATATTCACGTCGTGTAGGATATACCACTGGACCGATGTAGAATAGACGCGAGTTAAGCCTGAGATGACCTTGGGGAGGCACAGTCGCGGTGCATATATCAATTGCCATGGGGTTTATGTGCACCAGGGAACCAGGACCCACACGCGTTGTCGCCAGGGTTTGTGGTGCAGTGTTACAAATCACCACGCAAGATACGGCGAACACCGGAGGCGGGGGACACGATCCCCCGTCGAGGATTCCGTGAATCGACGCGATACAGGCTCGGGATTCGATTCAAATGAGATTAGACAGTGGTAGGTGGAGTCGTGCCTTCCACGTGGCTGCAAGGGTCGCGAAAACCACAGGCGGAGTTCGACTTCTATATTTGTGGGATTGGTGGGGTACAGGGGGTTCGCTTTGTACCTTACATTAGGAATCGCGGGTGCATATAATGAATGTATTTATTTATTTTGACTCTTAATTGTAAACTACTGAAAATGAATTAGTAAAGGTATCCAGTTCGGCGAGGGCTTTTCCCCATCCCCCCCCCCCTTCCCACGCAAACTCCGGCCCATAACGAAAAACCCATTGCGTGCAACGCATACGAGTTAAAAGGAAGAGCATCGATTCATAACACGCCATTCGATGCGTGTGCCGTGCGCTTGCTACCAGCTCACTCGGCATGGAAGCTAAGCCGATTTGAGCCTGGCTAGTGCTACCGTGCCATATAGCCCAGCGTCGTAGCTTGCTAGTGGTGGGAGGCTACTTTTGTCAGCAGAGGGCAGTACAGGGGAAGTCATTGTTCTATTGTACTTCACTGTGCTCCAAGGTTTAACGCTGCCCGCCACATGTCCGATACCACACGTATGTACACATCATGGGGACATTGCACTTCAATCCACTTTTTAAAAATGAAAAATAAATAGTTGTGCCATGACCTAGTCATTGTCTTGCTTTAGTTTGGCAATGTGCTGTACTTTTGCATTAGCTGTTGTGTGGAATGTGTGAAAATAAAGGTGATTTTATGTCAGTTCTCTACTATCGTGGGGTCTTATGTGGCTAAATAAAAGGCACACAACTACCCCGACAGGCAAGACGCGTAGCTGCTTATGTGCGTCCCCGGTTTGAAGACGGAACAACTGCAAGCAGGCACATAATTACACAGGGCCCTCATAATTACATAGGGTCCATATAATTTGTGATTGCGCATTGCAGTGAGGGATGTTATTTTTAGTCGAAAAGATGTCCTGAGCGTCGAAATCAGTGACTTAACCACACCTCGGTCAATCCATCTCCGATTTTATTGAAAAATTATCCAGACTTCCAAAACATAAAATGCTGCATTATGTAAAGGTTAAAGTGCATCCCTGCAATGTCCGACACACGCCACGGTTGGCGGAAGGGCCACCAAATCCTGGGAGCTCTAGAAATCACCTCGAAGGGGTACTGTATTGGGCCTACTCTTCCACACTAGCCAGACTGAAAGAGGTGTGAGAAGCCACACTTTACCTGACCAAACAGGACCTGCCGATACACTTGCTGGTGTGTACCCATTGATACTCCTGTGTGGACTGAGGCGGAGGGAATTTAAACTATTACTAAACTGTGTTTTATTTTACCAGGTAAGGCCCACTGAGATGTATAGTTATTTTTCAGAAGTGACCTGGCCACAAATGATAGCTCAACGAAGTGGCTTACCCATATGAACATTTAGAGCAGTCAATTACTCGAAACGCATATTGATTCTAAATGTGGAGCGAAAAACCGGAGGACCCGGAGAAAAATCCACGCGACCATGGGGAGAGAGAGACACGCAAACTCCAAACATACAGCAGGCGTCAGAGTCAGGATTGAACCCGCGGTCTCCTGTATAGCGGGCGAGGCAGTTAACATCCCGAAGGTGCCCTGCAGTAGTGCGGGGCGAAAGCTTCGTAGACTGAAACGCTCAGCACGTTATCGGCAAAGCCAGAACACCACGCCTGGGGAAACGAGAGCGTAAATCAACTTGCCCATTGTTTCTCTCGTCGCGCTGGGAGATCGAACCGGCAGACTCGAGATCGCAAGTGCAGTCTGCGAACCGCCACCACTACGACAGCATCCATGAAATATTAACGCAGCTAAAATGGCAGGTCCTCGTGGCATATATATATATTTTTTCTCACGTATGGGCCCTTAAAATAATTGAAGCCATGACCTCAAGAAGGGAACGCACGACTAAAGTTGTTTATTAATCAGTTGTGCCAAGCTTCCTAATCAAGGCAGTCTTGCAAATTTGTATCCTGATAAATTTTGGCCCAATTTTTCTATGCATAAATACATTAAAAAAAATTACGCATGCTAATACTTTTGAAAGTGTGAGAGCGGCGATCCCCTGCCCAGCTTTTACAATAGAGTGGGTCACTTTAAGTTGAAATGGGTTTCTCAAATTACCGTCTCCCTCACCTAATATTTTTCAAAACTAAATGCGTTCAAAACTTGTTCACGGGCAGAAAATTGTACAAATGCAAATCTCCAGCTTGTTGGTATAGAGTGAGCAAGAGTTCTCACACATCTCCTAATGCACCTCTAATGCGTTATTAAATTACTTGAAACGTTACTCTTTGGTTTATTCGGTAAAGTCACGTAGGTATAAAAAGAATAGATCACGATGTTTCGATCGCAACACAAGTAATCGTCATCAGCAGTTTTTTGCTTAAGTATACTTCAGCAAGTCTACTTCAGCAGTTTTTGCTTGCTGTGGTTGTCCCACCTGATGACGATTGCTTGTGTTGCGATCGAAACATCGTGATCTGTTATTTTTCTACCTCCGTGACTTTACCGAAATGACCACAGAGTATGGATTCCTGCAGTCACGAAAGCTTCAAATCTAGTTGAAACGTTTCTAAGTGGTATTCTTAATCATTATATTCTTTTTCAAATTGTGTAATTGTCTTTAATGGTGAAGATCACACACACACACGTATTTTTCATTAACCCTCATATGGTACTGCGGCTACATTCTTCGAGTCACATTGATATTTATTATTTATTCGTGATAAACTTTTGGAGCTTATAAACTATTGCTGTCCAATTAATTTTTTCTGATAACTGACCTTTAAAATGATGTATTCCGCCAATTAATTTAGGTTTCGCTGCCTTTGACTTGCAGAGCTGAATTAATAAATCATTCTGCAGTTTTGCTCGGATGAATGTAAACGACTGATGAGGGAAACTTCACGCAGTGGTGATGCTCGTTATCAGCTGAGTCGGCTTGACACGGAATGACGTGCCTGTGATGCAGCACTGTGGAGGCAAGGGTTGATAAATCCGATAGAGATTTGTCAAACTCTCAAAGCCCAACGAGCTGCGAGGTGGCCAGAAGGTGGTGGAACTTTGGGTGTTATAGCCCCTCGTATGCACGGCGGGTGTTCCCCGGATACTTCCACATGCAAAGTGATCATCATGTTTGGGATTGGCCAAGTATCCCAATGGAGCAAGTACGGTACTCGGTGACATTTTCCTGGTCGACTGTAGGCCACTGTTATTGACGGCGGGCGATATGAATGTTGACAGTCATGACGCCGACGGCGATGGTGGCGACATAAACGAAATCTGTTTCCAAGCCCTGTATGCGTCGCTCTCGTCTCTTCCTCAGAATCGAGCCAAGAGCCAGAGAAGCGGACAGCTGCATCAGCGGCAGCAGCAGGATACAGGAGAGATGGCCTTCTCCCTGCGGCGTCAGGTGAAGAACATTGTCAACAACTACTCGGAGGCCGAGATAAAGGTGCGCGAGGCGACCTCCAATGACCCCTGGGGCCCGTCCAGCTCCCTGATGGCAGAGATCGCCGAGCTGACCTACAACAGCGTCGCTTACGAAGAGGTGAATTGCGGACGCGGCGATTTTTCGTCAACATTCCACTTTGGATTCACGAAAAAAATAACTTTCCAACAAACGAAGGTTGAACGCGATGATGCGTCGGGTGTGTCCGTCTGTCTGTAACGTCGATGGGGGGGAGGAGGGGCAACGAGCCTCGTAGGGATGGTCAAATGTGAACGAAAGTTGAGCTTCAAGTTGCGTAGCTGTTGCCGAAATGCCCGAGAGAAAACTGGCCAATTTTTTTCAAAGGGTATATCTGGGACCAGCATAAAAAAAATGATGAAACATAAGAAGATGATTTTACGCTTTCAAGTGTTAAGATGTTCAAACGCCAAATATATATAAAACTGCTCTACCCGAGCTATACTTTCATTGTCTTTGTACTGTTCGCCTTTCAGCATTCTCGGGTCTAACATTGGCGATGAGACAAGGCCATGCAGCAGGCTGTCTCTGGTAGAGGCCAATCAGTTTCACAGACAATGCATATAAGAACAGAGCACGTTTCTTTGCATGTTTTGCCACAATTGTGTGCGGTTGATGCAGACTTGATGCCTCGCAACAGGTATCCATTTGTTGTTCGAACATCATAGCACCTCCCGTGTTTATTGCCAGAAAGGTCTGTTGAATTCTCGTCTCTCATCTTTTTGTTGTATTTATCTCCATGATTTGTTCTTGACACCTGATGAAGATCGCTTGTGTTGTGATTGAAACGTCGTGATTGTTTTGTTTTAATATGATTTTATTGTATCTCTACATACGTGACTTTACCGAAAAAACCAACGAGTAGGGTAAAACCTATTCTTATTCATCCAAGGGCTTCTCGATTTAAAACAAAAAAACATACCTGGCGACAAAAACGCGGCGCTCAGGCGAGAGATGACCTCGTTATGCGCTGTGACATCACCAGCCGACGACGCCGTCCTGTGACGCAATGCCCGCCGCACGTGATGCGCCACGTGACGTCGCGTCGTTGTGCGGCTCGGAACGGGGACGCTGCCTCGCGGCCGATGGATCAACTGCCGGGAAACGAACACGCGCTGGAAAAGCGTTCACGGAAACCAGCCACATGCAAGACAGACCCCATTACGTGTGTTGGGAACAGTGGCGTAGCATGTTATTGGCATGTCATGGGGACTCCTCCCCCTCCTTCATAGCCCAGTGCCTGAGCACCCTTCCACCTGTAGGTGCAGTTGCACCGCCTGCACACTCAATAGCTACGTCGCTGATTGACAGTGATTGGCCGATTGTTTCAAAACAAGAGTTCTAGAGATCTGGGAAACAACAAACACATCAAAGAGCAACACAGATGCAATCGGGCAGCACACAATAGGGGTGACTATTTTTATTTGCTGCCAGATGTGGTTACCAATAACACGGATTTACACAGACGACAGCAACAATAGTAACTCACGGCTGCTTATCAATCCACTGCTGAATGAAGAGCTCACACGATGCTGGTCACGATGGTTGTTTGACAAAACTTCACCATGCTTGTTGATGAGGCTTAGTGAAGTTAGCACTCGGGACCGGCTCAGTTACCACTCGCCACTAATATCGGCAGTGACGGGGAATCAATTTCGGGTCACCCAGATTCATAGTGCAGTTCACTAACCAGGGAAACCTTGAAAAGCATTTACATTCCGACTGCCCAAGAATCCAGAAGTACACGAAACACCTGCATCTATGATGGAATAAAACAATTGGTGTAGGTCACCCAATCGCCAGGGCATAGAGGTGACAGGGTGTGGTCTGTTAATACAAGGAGAGGTGTACCGACTAATTAAATTGTCTGGAAGCATCTGAATATATATAAGACTGCAGAGCTTAGACAATTGTGGGCATCGGCTCGCCACCATCGGCTCCCCGCCTGGCTGCCTTCCAGCTTGCCTCTCGTTCCTCAGCCATTGTGAGTTGGAATTGCATGAACGACAACGCGATATATAAAACTCACCACTATTTTGATGATTATATATAAAGGTGTAGCCCAGAAGTTATTTAAGTACAGCAACGTGGATTTCTGAGCCGTCAGTCCTGGATATCCTTTCTGATGTTTTTTTATCACCTTAGATGTGGCTATTCTTTTTTCTCACCGTGTGCAAAACACTCATTAAGGGGCTGTTGAAATATCCTCAAGTGTGGATATGTTGTTCACACTGTGGTCCATATTCCCCCCACCACTAATTAACGTGGCTCTTGACACGTCGCCAGTTATAAACTCACGGCTTCGTGGTGCGATCTCACCACCCAGGCACCAGCCTATTAATATGTGCAGTGAGTACTTATAAATAGATATTTAGTCTGCTTTGTGGCTTCTGGACGGCTGTTTTCAACAACAGAAAACCCAAGTCTGGGTTCTCATTGGCAAAAGTAAAGGTATAAACACTCATTCAATGACTGAAAACATCTTAATATTTAGAGGGCGTCAGAGCTTGGGTAATTGTGCCGGCTCACTGCCTGGATGCTGGCTGGAAGCTTGTCTGCGGCACCTCAGCGATTGCTTGCAAGATGCAATTTTCACGATGGACGCTAAGATACTCGACGACGAAACATCATAGTTATCAATAAAAGTTCTGCCCTGCAATCACTTGCTCATCGCTGAGCTGCTGGCGGAAAGTCCTCTACCCGAGGGAGCTTTAGAGAGAGCCCCTCTCGAGGGTATTTTGTATTGAGCGTTCATGTTGTAGTTTTCCACATGACGTCCCGTTGTCCGTATATGCGGGCGTTGTCGAATCCAAGAAATCCTTTGGTGGCATCTGGCAGGTGGCAAGAAATTCTGAGCTTTACTGCATGAGTGCCCTTGTGAAATTAGATATTTCATCTCAAGGGATTTTTCAGGTAAGAGGTAAAAGTAAAGTAAAAGTAAAAAAAAGCATCTTGCATCGGTGCGGATCGTGCGTCTAAGTTTCTTGAAGTGATTGACGCCAGCTTTGCTCCGTCTATACATGGCACATTTCTGATGTCTTTCAAAGATATCGTCTCCTACGTGATGCTAATCTTCAGCCATGCACGTCAATGTCATCAGCAAATCTTAGGCTTTTTGATTGGCCCTTCCGTCGTCAAATCCACTACGCAAGCTGCTGCCATGCGTGATCACGCTCTCAAGAAAGATGCTGAAAATAATTGGTGACAGAGCGGACATCCCGGCCTGACACGGAATTAATCTCTAAACCATTCAATTTTTTTCATCACTTTGCTTTCTGAACTTCTGGTCCAGAGCCTTAAGGAGTGAGACGATTTTTTTGCGAGAATCTAAATCGGTGCGGCACTGCCCATAGGGCTTCCTGTCAGACGCTGTCAAATGTTTCCTTATATCTGACAAATGCATGGCACACTGATGTTCCGGGCGGGAGACCTCCACGTACACCGTACAGCAGCGTGGTGCAAAGTGTATTGTGCACCGTCGTGATGGATAATACATTTGAATGAAAACACGAAGCACATGGATGATAATATTTTAAAATATAAATATGCTTATATGGATTGACCCGTTTCTGTCAGTGAAATGTGGAATTCTGACTCCTGGTTCAGGGCCGTACAAAGCAGGTGGACACCGACCCCATCCTCTTTTGAGCAGGAAAACGCTTTGGATGGTACATTAAATGAAGAATGTACATTACTAAACCCGGGAGAGTTTGCGTGCGTTCTGCCACTTTGTGGGCAGTCCATAACAGTGGATTTCATTGACTGGACTGGCCCTCGCTGCGTGAATGTGGACTTTCTACCGCTGATTCAAAGGTAGCCATCAGAGATGAGCCTCACCCAAGGTTCCATTGAGCAGGGAGACACACACGGTTATTGTTGGTACCACGAATGACTCCAACTGGGCAGTTCCACAATTTGGGATGTGCATTTCAGACACTTTTCATATGAAATTTCTTTCCACGTGACTTTACCGTAAGAACAAAGGAGTAATTCCTGCAGTCACGAAAGCTTCGAATCTCGTGTAATCTAATAGTGTAATCTAATAGTGTAATCATGACATGACTTTCTACTCGGATATAGTAGGTCAACCCATTGCGGCTGTAATTCTGATATATAAAAGGCAAAGTTGTGATTATGTGTGTCTGTTCAAAATGTTTAGCGTACTTCCCGACATGCAACAAACTGGAAATTTGCCATGTGGGTACTTTCCAGACTGTACACCATGCTAAAATTATAAAAACACACTTTTTTTTTGGGGGGGGGGGGGTGGGGGAGCTCAATAATGCATATTTTTGTTTTTTGCACGCTGTGACGTCAAATCTGTCACGTGACCCGCGCATGTGGAAGCGTAACGCATTGTAGTGTAGCGGTTAGCGCGCCGCGCTACGAACCCGGCGACCCGAGTTCGATTCCCGCTCACGGCCACCACCGGTGACGATTATATGAACCGGTCCTGGGCCTACCCTAGGTCGACTCAGCCTCAAACGAGTATCTGTTGTGGTGTGTGAACATCGCCACTGGGGAGAGAAAGGCGGCCGGGCGTGGTGCATCCAAGTCCCGGGCGAAGCCGGGTAGTAAAGCTAGTTCTGATATAAATCATCTGTCCACCTTTCTTGATCGGTATTCTTTGTTTACCAAGGCGATTGAATACACTGATTGAGACACATGACACAACATTGCCTCTTTTGCAAGGGCTCCCTGTGTTTCACAAAAATCATTGTAAAATCCCACGTTGTGGGACGTACACAAAATGGCTTTGCCATCCACTCTGAGATGATGCATTTAGTTTTGTGCGTTCGTGAAGGCCAAAACTTCGTCAATAAATAAAGCAGACAATTTTTTCGAAGCTACGATTTAGAAATTTCGACCAAGAGGCTACCTCAGTTGTGGGCGCCACGGTGGCGAGATGTTAACTACCTCGCCAGGTGTACAGGAGATTGTGAGTTCGGTCCCGACCCTGATGCCTGTATATTTGGAGTTTGCATTTCTATCTCTCTGTGGTCGCGTGGATTTTTCTCCGCTTTCTCCGGTTTTCCCCTCCACATTTATAAACATGAGTTTAGGGTATTTGACTGCTATAAATTTCCACATGACAAGCCACTTCTTTGAACTATCATTTGTGACTCGGTCACTTCTGAAAAAGAGCTATAGAGGTCAGTGGGCCTGACCACGTTAAAAAATGTAATGACAAACTGACCCAATCTTGATTTGAAGCTTTCAAGACTGCAGGAATCCATACTCTTTGGTTCTTTCGGTAAAGTCACGTAGGTATCAAAGTAAAACAAAAAATATTATATCACGACGTTTCGATCGCAACACAAGCGGTCGCCCTCAGGCGGAAAAATATAATCCAGCAGTGGAACTGATGAACCAGTTTTCCGCCTGAGGACGACCGCTTGTGTTGCGATCGAAACGTCGTGATATAATATTTTTTGTTTTATTTGGATACCTACGTGACTTTACCGAAAGAACCAAAGTGACCCACTTCTATTCAGCACCACGGACAGCGACCATTCAAAGTCTTGAGCGCGAATGACTCACTCTTGGCTCTGCCTTGAACCCTGCGCGGATGGAGCGGCTGACGAGTGGCGCCGCGCGCGAATGTTCGCTCCGCAGGTGATGACCATGCTGTGGAAGAGGATGAGCGACGGGGGACGAAACTGGCGTCACGTCTACAAGGCGCTGGTGCTGCTCGAATGCCTCACCCAAATCGGCAACGAAAAGGTTCGTGGCGCGGCAGTGGTGGTGGTGAGAGTACAGGGAAGGTCACGGGGGTTCATTTGCACGGCCAGAACATCACCACCACAAACGTCATCGTCGTGATTCCCCCCCCCTCCCCGCCCCGTATTCTGGGATGTTTAAAGTAGGACTCCCAACCCAAGATGTAGGTTTTCGTGGCAGTTTCATGTCAACATTCTTACCGTTCTTGTCACTCGATTTCCGAGCTCACCGCCTGATGAGGTCTCAAAGCAGTTTGAGCGAAGTGTTGTCGCACTTCGATGTTGAATTAGGTCGCGGAAAGCGTCGAAGGCACGTCTGAAGAGGAGGATGAGCTGTCTCGGTAATAATTTGACCCGTCCAGTGGCCACGTATGAATACAATCTTTGTCAACGCGCCACTCTTGTTTGGTGGTGATAGTCAAACGGCCCTGGTTGCCAACACGGCGTGCCAATTCCCTAATTCGCCCGTGGATTAACAGCCGCACGACGGACGAACTCAGATGTGATCAAGCTTCTCTGCGTACCATACTTCCTCACTTTTAATTCTGATTGCGCATTCGGCATCATGCAAAGCTGTAAAGCCCGGCGCTCTGAGCCTCCGAGCCGTCCCCACGTTTCTCCTGCGTCCTCGCCGAGACGAAGCGACGGGGGCCTCCTCTGCAACTAAGGGCCGCCCGGCTCGCCCGTTCCCGCAGGTGACTGAGCAGTGTCGTGAGCACCTGTCCGGCCTCAAGATGCTGCAGGAATTCCGCTTCGTGGACCGCGACGGCAAGGACTACGGCGTGAACGTGCGCGAGAAGTCCAAGCAGCTGGTGGCTCTGCTGCAGGTGGGCGCGGCGTCAATCCTCGACGCGTTTCACGGGGTGGGGGGCGGGGGGGGGGGTGCTCCGGTCTGCCCGATTCCGTCGACAATACAGAATCGGGAGCTTTATACTGGAGGAATCCGATGAGCTACGAAGCTCCAAGATAGCCCTGTTATTTCCATGAGGATCAAATGCAGCCCACCTCTGTGGCAGCCAATGAGTGGAATGCGTCGTAGGGCACGTCCGCTGAGCAAGATGGATCGGACGAAGTCGGTTTGTGCACAGGAGGTTGGTGGATTGCACTGTGTAACAAAATACATATTCATTTTTGTTCCTGGGTAGTAAGTGTCATTTTCTAATTGCTTACGCCTGAAAAGTACGGACAATGGCTATTATTACCCACAAACTTTGCTTTTGTGACCAGGACACAAAAGCAATTTTTATTATCCACTCCATTAATAACAGTGTAAAAAAATATATTATTTTTTTGTTCCTGGATAGTAAGTGTTTTTTTCTAATTGCTTACGCCTGAAAAGTACAGAAAATGGCTATTATTCCCAACAAACTTTGCTTTTGTGACCAGGATAGTGATATTTCTATATTTACCTATTTTCAATGAGAACACGTGGTGTGCATTTGTGTCATTCCTTCACATAAAGTCCAGGTCACAAAAGCTCGTGGGGAATAATAATAGCCATTTTCTCTACTTTTATGGCATAAGCAATTAGAAAATAACACATACTACCCAGGAACAAAAATCGTGTTCAATAATGATTATTCGTAAGAGGGGGTAGTGGGGGGGGGATGGTGGGGGGGGGGCGCTTCAGCCCGGGCATCTCGGGGAATCCTCCCCGTCCGCCCGTTCGCGGTATTCGCTTTGCGAGGGCCGCTCTCTGCCTCCCGCTGCTGTTGCTGCCGTATGGCCATCAGGACGAAGCGCTGCTCCAGTCCAAGCGCGAGCTGGCGCTCAAGACGAAGGAGCGCATGGCGCAGAGCAAGGCCAAGCCCGGGGGCGCCGCGCAGTTCCTGGGGGGGCTCAGTCGCAGCCCCGGGCCCAGGGAGGCGCTGGGCTCCGCGTCGTCCGACGGGGGAGACGGAGGAGGCTCCGGGGGGTCGCCCGCCGCTCAGCGACCGCGTACGCAGCCGAGCTTCGCGGGCTCCCACGTTTGGGTCGTCGAAATCGTTTTTTGTTTGTTTTTTAGTCAAATGAATAGAAACGCACACGGAGAAATGCCAAGGGCAGCAATAAAACTATTTCTTTTTTTTTCTTTAAACTGGGAACGAAAGGAGCTGTCGTGGCGTGATGATCAGCGCACTGGACTTGTCACGCAGATTCGCCGGTTCGATTTCATGTCGCGACGAAGTAGTTGATGAAACAATGCGGCAAGTCTCTTAAATCCCCACCCCCGCCTCAATCCACCCAGCGGTGTACAGTTAATGAGTTCAATACGATGAAGTGGATCGCCAAGTTACGTGTGGAGACCAAATATCCCTAGAAGCTCCCTCTAGTGGAGACTCTTCCTCAATGCGGTGGAGTAAGGCTTGAACTTTGCCCTTTGCACTGAGCAAGGAGGGCAAATGTACGCACTTTGGCCACTGCGCCGTGACACCATTCGTGCCCCTCAATCAGTGTGCCCCTCAATCAGTGTGCCCCTCAATCAGTGTGCCCCTCAATCAGTGTGCCCCTCAATCAGTGTGCCCCTCAATCAGTGTGCCCCTCAATCAGTGTGCCCCTCAATCAGTGTGCCCCTCAATCAGTGTGCCCCTCAATCAGTGTGCCCCTCAATCAGTGTGCCCCTCAATCAGTGTGCCCCTCAATCAGTGTGCCCCTCAATCAGTGTGCCCCTCAATCAGTGTGCCCCTCAATCAGTGTGCCCCTCAATCAGTGTGCCCCTCAATCAGTGTGCCCCTCAATCAGTGTGCCCCTCAATCAGTGTGCCCCTCAATCAGTGTGCCCCTCAATCAGTGTGCCCCTCAATCAGTGTGCCCCTCAATCAGTGTGCCCCTCAATCAGTGTGCCCCTCAATCAGTGTGCCCCTCAATCAGTGTGCCCCTCAATCAGTGTGCCCCTCAATCAGTGTGCCCCTCAATCAGTGTGCCCCTCAATCAATCAGTGTGCCCCTCAATCAGTGTGCCCCTCAATCAGTGTGCCCCTCAATCAGTGTGCCCCTCAATCAGTGTGCCCCTCAATCAGTGTGCCCCTCAATCAGTGTGCCCCTCAATCAGTGTGCCCCTCAATCAGTGTGCCCCTCAATCAGTGTGCCCCTCAATCAGTGTGCCCCTCAATCAGTGTGCCCCTCAATCAGTGTGCCCCTCAATCAGTGTGCCCCTCAATCAGTGTGCCCCTCAATCAGTGTGCCCCTCAATCAGTGTGCCCCTCAATCAGTGTGCCCCTCAATCAGTGTGCCCCTCAATCAGTGTGCCCCTCAATCAGTGTGCCCCTCAATCAGTGTGCCCCTCAATCAGTGTGCCCCTCAATCAGTGTGCCCCTCAATCAGTGTGCCCCTCAATCAGTGTGCCCCTCAATCAGTGTGCCCCTCAATCAGTGTGCCCGTTACCCAACATTCCTTTTGGAGCGGCGACCGGTTCCTGACTTTCTGAACCGGCCCTCCCAATTGTTGAAGTTTCGCACACACAAACTCATCACTCACTTCCATGGAGCACAACGGGGAACGGAACATATGAACGAAATAATGTTCCGTCTCCGCAGGATGGAATTCCTGCTTTGCAGAATAACAATACATTTGCTTAAAATGCCGGGGAAAATGTGCGACTTGTAATTTGGAGACTGGTAATCGGAATGGCATCTTATCTTAGGCACTATCGAGTTACTAATAATGTGGACACGATGGTAATCAGAATGCCATCTTATCATAGGCACTCCCGAGTAATGAACTGACGGTTGTTTGTACGTGTGGTACCTCAGCATCGTCTCCCCAAGTGGCTGCCGACACAGAGCAAGGAGAACAGCCTCATCGGGCAGAGGAGAAAGCAGCTGATCCTTCGGTGCCGGCGGAGCAGGTGAGGGTCTGAACCGATCAACGAAACCCACCACACTATTTTGGCTTAGCTTTTCAGAGTGCACAACAGAACACGATCCACCCACTTCACGATGCAGAGCATCACCACGGATCGGAACATGACCACGACGACCCTGTGCGACCAACTCACCGGCAATGCGCTCCGACCTCGTCGGATCTCGGAAGCTAAGCGGGTTTACGCCTGGGATAGCGCGCTCAGAATGACGACCCAGCAATGCACCCCGGGTTGTCGTAGGCTGCTGCTGGTGCGACATGATCGGCAGCAGACGGCCATGCATATTATTCCATTGTTGCTCTGTGCTCACGTGCTTCCACGTCACATGCTCCCTGCCTTCACCAACCCACATTGACCTGCGCGGTGAAGTATGGTTAAATGGCTCGTACGACCCACACAATGTGCCGGGAGGGGGGGGGGCATATCCAGCAGTGTATTGGCAAAAGGGCTGCGCGTGCACACACTGGATGATGTGGGGTACGCGTAATAATGTGGTTGCTCCATACGCTATAATTAGACCGTCTCACACATTTTTGCTGTTGTCGATTGTCGAACCAGGAGCCACGTGCGGAGAGCAGAGCCGAGCAGCCCACCACGACAACCAAGGAAGCCGCGACGGTAGAGGTAATATCAGTATTTGAGCGTAATACGACTGCCAATAATAATCATTATAATTGACCACACTTTGTAAATTCACTGCTGGATAAAGGTCTCCTCCATGCCGGCGCTGCGGTCCAAAAATAAAAAAGGCCTAATTGGGTTCATCCACTTCGCAACCTCGCCCCCATACTGCGAACCGCTGCAGACACTACTCACCTGTGAGCCAGGGCGAGGCCGTTATTGTCTTGCGCTATGAGGGCGGTGCGATTTGTGTGTTTTTTATTTTCTTCAACACAATTCTGAGCACAGGCCCATGGGCGCCGAAACGGCATACGGCCAGCAACAAACAGCACTCTCTTGTAACGCATTAAGAGTGAATACTTTTTTTTTTGCTTGAATTATTTGCATATACGTCAACCCATGCGGTTAGCCCCGTATTCTTGTACAGGCAAATTGAGTGTTCAGGTCCACACGGCGTACAGACGTTTCAATACGGGCAAAACAAAACATGTTTGTCTATTTGTTTGTGTTTCTCCTTCGCGATGTGACTTAGTAGGATGAACGTTGAGATTTAGAAGGGCACAGGGTGACCAAAAAGGTCTGAATTGGTCTGTAATAAGCTAGGGCACTGATGTGGGTTGACAGGTGTGGATTTGATTCGATTCGCTTTTCCCTTTCCACCCCCCTCCCCTCCCTCGGCTGTTCCCCAGCTGCCGCTGCTCGACATCGGAGATTGCTTCAGTTCCCCTTTGACTGCGGGGTCCACAGCTCCACAGCAACAGCAGCAGACTCAGCCCCTGGACGTCTGGGACACGGTCGCCCCCTCGGTCGCTCAGAACGACCCCTGGAGCATCCCTCCCGCACGCCCTGCCGCCACTGCCACCGGTGCGTAGAGACACTGGGGAGCTCGCTCCCGAGTAGTTCTGCGGTGCCCGCTTCAGCGGGTCGGTGCTCAAAGACAAAGGGATGCGCGTCTCGAGACATGGTGCGGATTAACATGGCTGAGATAGAATTTGTGCGAATTTTTTTTTTTACAAAAATTAAGGTCAGAACATGCTCACCACTCAGAAGTAGTTATGCGATGTTTGCTTCAGTGGGATGGTTATCTAACATGAGGGGTTGCACGGCTCTGCGTCCGTTGCCTCGTGACGTGATGCCGTTTGCACATTTGGGATAAAATTGGAGAAAAATACGAAAGACACGAACCTGTCCACAATACCACATATCCTTCGTTGTACAACATAAAATCGAATTCCGTATCCATGTGATGTCAACTTTCATTAAGAGTAGCACAATGGATCGATTAATTGGTTAGGGTTAATTCTCAAGGCTCGCGATACATAACTGGACTTTCGCTCGCCCAGGGCTGCCATTGGAAGCGAGTGACAGAGTCCACGTGGTACGGAGTCCACGTGGCACGAGCGTGTACGCTTCTGCCTCGTTTTCGTGCATTTTCAGGGGAGCGGTGGCGCAGTTGTTAGCGCACCCTGCTACACGAATCTGGCGACCCGAGTCCGATTTCCGCCCATGGCGTACATGAGCAACCAATTTCTGAACCGGTCCTGGGCCTCTACTAGGTCGACTCAGCCTTAAATGAGTACCCACTGTGATCAGGGCCGGGTTAGGGCACGGGGCTTTAGGGGCTGTAGCCCAGGGGCCTCCGTCAGCTGGAGAGCCTCCAGAGATTAAGTTAAAAGTTATTTCAGTTGTGAATGCTGAATTTGATTTGTTGTTAGCCTTGTAAAAATACATTATATTTTTCTTTAACTTTGTTTTCCTTTACAAAAAAAATATTACCGGGGGCCTCACAGTACCTGCAGCCCAGCGGCCTACACAATCTTAATCCGGCCCTGAGTGTGCTGTTTAAACATCGCCAGTCGAGAAGACTTAAATTGATGGCCGAAGAAGTGCCGACAGCGCTTGATAACAGCACTTGCCTCGATTGCGCGAAACGTCTCCACACGGGGGGCTCAGTGTCCGTGTCTCTCGTGTTCCGCAGACTCCAAACCATCCGCGAGGCCGTCTGGGGTTGCCACCCCTGCCCCCGATCCTTGGGCCTCATTGCTGTCAGGGCCCCAGCGGTCGACACCGGTGCCAGCGTGTGCGTCAGGTGAGCAAGGGCTTGGCTCTTAGCCTCACGCCACCACGATCGCCGAACGCAGCACCCCCCCCAGCCACGTTACACACTCCTCAGCCGTTGAGGCTCGGCAAGTCACGGCCATTGTCCACGTGTGGGCGAGTTCGGACGTACATTTCCGGGCGCTTCAGCGACGTCGGTGTAATTGTGAATTGGCTTTGTGGAGTGGTGTAGAATTCAGCGGTCCCCAACCTTTTTGGCACCAGAGACCGGTTTTGTGGAAGACAATTTTTTCACGGACCGGGGGGGGGGAGGGGGGGTGTTCATCATTGGGTCTTCCCCCCTTTTCAAAGAAGCTCTCCAGCGACGTGTGTTTTTTACTCATTGTGGCTACTAGGGGTCAGCTTGTGGGCTTACCAACACCACGTGACTGAGACAAGCGCGCAGTGCGGGAAAGAGGCGCGGACGGAGGTGGTAAATAATAAAATAATGGCCCGGCCACGCGTGGACTCACCTGCTGTGTGGCCCGGTTCCTAACAGGCCACGGACCGGTACCGGTCTGCGGCCCGGGGGTTCGGTGACCCCTGGACTGTAAATGATCGTGCAGGTGTTGTGAAACACCCTTCCTTGTGGGCGTTGAGGTGCTGGTACCCTGACTCGCCAGGAGAAGGCAGCTCAGCAAAGTGAGGATGTAATGCCTTCTGTCGGTCCCTTCTGTACCGGGTCCCCACCTCACACACATGGGTTTTGTCCAGGTGCTCAGCTTTCCACCCACCCGTATAAACACTCAATAATTGGCTGAAAACACCTTTCTATATATATAGTAAAGGATTGCGGAGCTTTGGCAATTGTAGGTGCTGGTTCACCGCCTGGCTGGCTCACAGCTCATCTGTACTTGCTCGGCGACTGTGAGACGCAATATGCATGAATGACGCTCTGTGTAAAACGAAACACTATTAAACATTAGTGTCACAGCAACATATTTATTTACGTTTTGAGCAAGGTTCGTCTGCGTTGCAGAGCCATGAACAACTCATTACGGCCAGTGCCGGATTAAGCTAGTGCGGGGCCTGTAGGGGCCCTAATAAAAAAAAAAAACACGTAAATATTAAAACGCATACATTTTTTACTTGCATGTTAGATTAATTGTATGTTTTATTTGCTATACAGCCAGATAATACGACAAATCGCTAACCTTAAACACTCAGTCGTTCATAAAAAGTTGAAGGCAGTATAGTTCTATAGTAATAGAGCAAGTGCAAAATCACTGAACCGGAATTGATAGCTTGAAATCATTTAGCGCGGGGCCCTTGAAAGTGCGGGGCCCGTAGCTACATATGTAGCTACTTTTGCTACTAGGAGAACCTGACACTGGTTACGGCCCATGTTAAATGGAGCAATGCAACAACTTTTGTAAGCAACAGTATGCCCCTGAAAAATGCCACATTTAAACTTGACGAGCTTTTCAAAGGAACCAATAATTTTTACGTTCCAGGCAGAATATGTTCTCAAGTCCAGTTCAGAATTCCTCCAATATTTTTTTCTTTCCAGGTAGAGCCCTGCTGGCTAATCGGGATTTTTGCATAAGCTATTAAACAAAATTCTAGTTTTTATTTTATTTTACCAGGTAAGGCCCACCGAGTTATATATATCTTATTAAGAAGCGTCCTATCCCCAAATGAAAGCTCAACGAAGTTGCGTTATCACGTGGAAATTTATAGCAGCCAAAGACATTAACCGCATATTGATTCTAAACATGGAGGGAAAAACTGGAGGGCCTGGAGAAAAATCCGCATGACCAAAGGGAGAACATGCACACTCCAAATATACAACAGGCGTCAGGGTCGGAATCGAACCCACGACCTCCTGCATACCAGGTGAGGTCGTTAATATCCCGCCACCGTGGTGCATGATGGCTTATACATAGGTATTCGTATCCGTGGTCCTATTTCCTGCAACTCCTATCATCCACAGCAGCTGTAGTGTTTGCGTAAAAGTCTATTATACTGGTAGGAAACGTAGTGGACTGGAAGCCCAACCGGGATTAATTCACAGGAGGCAGGGGATTGTGTATGTCTCTGGATGTCTGTCCACGTGTATCCGGACACCCGGATATATAACAAATGCGCTCCTAGTGGGCATTACTGGTAGGAAACGTAGTGGACTGGAAACCCAACCGGGATTATCACAGGAGGCAGGGGATTAATTGTGTATGTCTGTGGATGTCTGTCCACGTGTATCCGGACACCCGGATATATAACAAATGCGCTCCTAGTGGGCATTACTGGTAGGAAACGTAGTGGACTCGAAGCCCAACCGGGATTATCACAGGAGGCAGGGGATTAATTGTGTATGTCTGTGGATGTCTGTCCACGTGTATCCGGACACGCGGATAAAATGGGAGGGGTGGGGCTGGGTGGGGAGGGGAGGGTGGGGAGGGGCTGGGGAGGGTGGGGAGGGTGGGGAGGGGCTGGGTGGGGAGGGTGGGGAGGGGCTGGGTGGGGAGGGTGGGGCTGGGTGGGGGGTGGGGAGGGAGGGAGGGGTGGGGGGTGGGAGGGGTGGGGCTGGGTGGGTAGGGGCTGGTCACCCCGTGGTGCCCTTATAAAACTCAACGTTTAACCTACTCACGCCGGCTTGTGCCCGCCCTCACAGTCGGGCATATTTGCGGAATACACCACGTGGTTCCGCCGTTGACCCTGGCCATTGACCGAGCAACCCAACGTTCCTACCAGCTCCCTCCGCAGGAGAATGTGTTCTATGGCCCTCTTTTTTCCTCTCATCTGCGATTATCCGCAACTTTTCCTATAACTGTTCAAGGAGTGACATCTTTATATCCGTGATTTATTTCGCAGATAAGAGGAGTCACGTTGCAAATAATTCCTGTTAGCCTCGGGTTGTCTACAATATTTTACGCCATGGATAAAATTGTAGATAACCCCGCAGAAAATAGGATCTGCAATATTGCCCCTCCACCCCCCCACCCCCCACCCCCCCCCCCCACCCCCATAGCACGACAGACAAGGGTTCTCCTCCACTTTGTAATGTCCCACAAACAAGAAAATTATATAATTCTACGTTTTCCTTGTTTACCAAAAAGAAGCAGACGTGATTCATTCAGACCGTGACCCGACACTGTATAAAATGGCAATTACCCTGTTATTCATCGTACAAGGGTTGCTCCTCAGAGCGGACCCAGGTGGTTGGTTACACACAAGAGCTGTCACATGGTAGGCAGAAAATGCCATGTGAACCACAGGGCAGACACACGGAGGAGTGGTGGGGGGGTAATGGGGGGGTGGTGGGGGGGTGGTGGATGGGTGGTGGTGGTGGTGGTGGTGGTTCTGGAGGAGGGTGGTGGTGGTGGGAGGTGGTGGCGGGAATCAAACCCAGTAACCTGGGTTTGATTCGGTCAGTGAACGCCGCCCCCCCCCCCCCATCCCACGACCGACAGCGCATGAGGAGGCGGTTCATCCAGCGGTGGATGGATAAAGCGTGAAAATATTTTTAAAAAATCCTTTTTTATTTTTTATCCCTCGCAGTCGACCTCTTGGGCGACGACGCACCCGCGGCCTTCGCCGCCGCTCCGGCCGCGCAAACCACCGCCGTGGACCTGCTGCAGTGGCCCGGCGTCGCCGCCACCCAGCCCCAGGCGAAAGTCGCGGCGGCCCTCGCCCTCGGGGAGTCCCCCCTGCCGCTGCTCGACCTCGGCCCCGTCGCGCCATCGCCTGCGGCGGCCGCGCAGCCCGGCGCCTCCGCCGCCCTGCTGCTCCCGTCCGGTGAGAGCCGTCTCGATAAACCTCGCCCCGCTCGTCCTGCCGGCGGAAACGCCGCCAGCCGGACTCGTGGCGGGCTACGGGAGCGAGTCTCGGGCCGCCGGGTCTTGAGGCCTCCGGCCGTTGATGCGGAAGGGCCGGTAAAATGCCCTGACCGCAGTAACTGAAAAGCGGTTGTGATATATACAATGTCTAGATTTAAAGCTTTCGTGACTGCAAGGATCCATACTCTTTGGTTCTATTCGGTAAAGTCGCGTAGGTAAAAAAAATAAAACAACAAAAATCACGACGTTTCGGCCACAATACAAGTGGCCTTCATCAGGTGAAGGGACCAGCGCTGTCCTCTAGACAGTACGGTCTCTTCACCTGATGAAGGCCACTTGTGTTGTGGCCGAAACGTCGTGATTTTTGTTGTTTTATTTTTTTTTACCTACGCGACTTTACCGAATAGAACCAAAGAGTATATACAATGTGTTTAAAAAAGATGGACCCAATTTCAAACCAGTATATTTCACGATGCCAACATGTTACAATTACACAAACAGTTGCCAACGGTTTAATGAGGTATCAAGTTTTTCTAACCATTTTATAAATGCTCTATGTGCCCTCCACCTGCTGTATGGACAACATCGAGACGATTGTTGAATTCGGAAAAAAGCCACCTGATGCGATTTGGCGGTGGAGGACAACAGCCAACTAAATGCAAGGCCCACCTTTAACCCCGAACCACATTAACCAACCAGCGACGAGCACCAGCTCTACCCCTAACCAACTCGCCACTAGGTTTATCTCTGACTAGACGACCAGCTGCCAGTGTTAGTCCTAGCCCTAACTTATTTTGAATAAGGTATAGAAGACTGCAAGACGAATATGAGCACGAGAAAAGTCACCTACAACAAGATCCTCAGACAAACGTAGACATTTGTTAGAGGAACACAGCTGGAAATCACATCGGAGTGTGTACATACCCATAGAAACTGCTGTCCAATGTGTACATCTGCGTTTGTGTGCAAGCACACGTTGGCGTTCGTACATCCGAGCGTGTCGTGCATGCGACTTGCATTCACAGGACAATCTTTGGCCACATCTGTAAGTCCAGCTCCCGTCGCACGACCAGCAGCAGCAGGGCCAGGAGCAACACTCGCACCAGCAGCGCACTCTGCCCCCCCTCCTGTGGCTGCACCCCGCTCCCCACGGGTGTCCACAAAACCTCAGCAGAAGTCCACCCCTGCTGCTGCTCCCTCCGCTGCAGCCACCACCACCACCACCACGAGCCTGGCTCCAGGCCAGAGCCCGCAGCCTCAAGCAGTCAGCCCCGGGTCCGGAAAGCCGCCGGCACGCCCGCCATCCCCCCGGCTCGGCGGACGGATTCCTGCTGCGCCTACGGAGCAGCAACAGCAGCAGCAGCAACAGCAGCAACAACGGGAGCAACAACAACGGGAGCAGCAGCAGCAACAACAGCAACAACAGGAGCAGCAACAACGGGAGCAGCAGCAGCAGCAACAACGGGAGCAGCAACAGCAGGAGCAGCAACAACGGGAGCAGCAACAACGGGAGCAGCAACAACGGGAGCAGCAGCAACAACAGCAGCAACAACGGGAGCAGCAGCAACAACAGCAGCAACAACGGGAGCAGCAACAGCAGGAGCAGCAGCAGCAACAACGGGAGCAGCAACAGCAGCAACGGGAGCAGCAACAGCAACAACGGGAGCAGCAGCAGCAACAGCGGGAGCAGCAGCAACAGCAACGGGAGCAGCAGCAGCAACAACGGGAGCAGCAGCAGCAACAGCGGGAGCAGCAGCAACAGCGGGAGCAGCAGCAACAGCAGCAACAGCGGGAGCAGCAACAGCAGGAGCAGCAACAGCAGCAAAAACGGGAACAGCAGCAGCAACAACAACAGCAGGAGCAACAACAGCGGGAGCAACAACAGCGGGAACAGCAACAGCGGGAGCAGCAACAGCAGCAACAGGAGCAGAAAGAGCAGCAGGAGCAGAAAGAGCAGCAGGAGCAGAAAGAGCAGCAGGAGCAGAAAGAGCAGCAGGAGCAGAAAGAGCAGCAGGAGCAGAAAGAGCAGCAGCCGAAAGTCTTTCCCCCTCCTTCACCAACTCAAGTCTTAAGTGTTGTAGATGCTGGTCAGGTTACTCGCGAATATTCAAAGCCATCGTCCCAGCAATCAATAACCCCTGGGTCAGATTCTTCACCTGTTCCGCCCAGTTCAAATCTCGATGATTTGCTGAGCTTTGAAGGACCGAACGTCCCACTCGCAGCTCCAATCAAAATCCCTGACGGCACTCCATCGGTAATCCTGCCTGTGATGCAAGCGCTTGCACCGTCCTCGGGTCTCGACGATTTACTTGGCTTCAGCTCAGAGATACTGCAGCCATCAGAGCCACAGGAGCAGCAGCAGCAGCAGAAAGAGCCTGGGACCGCTTCTGGCTACGCGGATATGCTCAGCCTAACGTCCCCTCGCGATGACGCCAGCGCCTCGAGCAACGGAGAGCCGGAGTCAGCAGAAGCGGAGCCAATCGTCGATGCCGCTCCTCCTCCACCCTGCGACGACCCCCCGCCCGCTCGGACCGCCGAGACGGTGGCCTCGACTGCGACCTCCTCGGAGGCCCTCGAGTCGGCCGCATCCCGAGCCCCCACAGGGGTCGCCGCCGCCGCCGCGGCAGTCGCGGCGGTCACGGAGGGTTCGCCGTCGGAGCAACCGGAGGAGAATTCCCACGGCGCAGACCCGCGGGTCAAGGATCTTCAGGAGGCCGACGGTTTAGCGCTGGCGCCAGAAAAAGGACAACAGCACGTCCTGGAAAAGGCCTCGGTGGAAACGGGCGGAGTGGCCGAGTCGGCCGTTATCGAGGAGGTCGCCCATCGCCCGACGAGCAATGGCAGCGACTGAGGCCAGCGGTGGAGCACGGCGATGTCCCGAGGTGTCCCGGTGAACACAAAGGAAATGTGTGGGCAATGGCAAACGTGCGAAGGGAGAAAAGCAAATGAACATCGAAAGGTTGGCCATTTGAGGTGCTGGAAGTAGGGCTGGGGTTTGGGTTATGGGGAAGGGCTATTGAGAGGAGCTACTTGGTTCGTTCGATGTTGGCAGGAGATAGAGCTGGAGTTAAAGGGTGCAACAGTCATTCTCCTAATTTTCATTGTAAATCCCTGCTAAAACTATGCTTCAACCGATTACGTAGCCAACCGATTATAGCACGGTTGACGACGTATGGTGCAAGAGAACTTCAGCGTACATATAGAGTAGCGAACTACCGAAGCAACACAGCCATGAGAGCTAGGCAAGTAAAGGCACCTGCTTGGCCTAGACATGAAAAAGACGAGGCATTTTATACGAGGTAGAAATACAAGTTGAGGAAGATTAATCAGGTTTCCTAAAAAACAACCAACCCTTAGTTATCATCCACATTAAATAATTAGGATTTTGGGGCCAGGATTCTGTGACAACCAGGTTAATATTTTCCCACAAAATCAGAGCATGGGATGAGTCTTGGATTGAAAATGGTCTGATTTGAGGTCGTTGGAATATTAAGGACAATTTGGGACTGGGGGAATTTAGAATCCTTAGCATTATGCAATAATATAGCTCTTTGTTAGGGTACCAAAAGTGATCTCGCCCAATGGCACCTCAACTTTGGCGAAAAAAGCGTTGACGCGACATCGTTGAAGTAGCGTCACTTCCTGTGACGTCATATCTTCGGATTATTATGACGAAATAAAAAAAAATTTCGGATCATCCAAAATGTCATGCCCAGGGCCAATGTTTGCATTTTTTGAGGTTTAAATCCCAAAATGATCAGAGCTTATGTTGTTTATACAAAAGCAACAACAACAGCGTCAAAGCCTTTGGACAAAGTTGCTGTGTTGCAAGACCTCAATTAAACGTTATTTCCCCAACGATCGGACCCCTCTTATATTAACGCAATGCAGACAACATTATTGCTGGCAACACTATCTCAAGATATTTGCACCATTTAACTTCGGGTAAAGGCTCGTGTTTTGATTAGGTAGCGTGCTCCTCCATGCAATTGGCACTAAATGGGGCTATTTAATATTCAGTTCTTTTCTCACTTCTGGCGTTTACATCACCTGACCACTTTCATTTGGGAACCTCCTCAACGGATTTGAGGGTGGTGGACACTTCAGACACGATTTCATTTGCTTTTGCTCCTGCAAACGTCGCCGCAGGTGTGCTGTCGCGAAACGTCGGACATCACGCTGAATAGCAGATGGTACAACCGGAAAGCACGTCGGAGAGCCGTACATTTGCTTTGGTTCTATCGTTGCTGCCGCTGCTACCGCTGTTGCTTTTTGGGAGATGTGGTGCGCTCAGCAATTCTGTACGCTCGTGCTGCAGAGCAACAGCAATTGATGATGTGCATTGTGTGTCTGGGCACGCACGCGTGCGAGTGCATTGTGGTCTGCACCAACTTCTAAAAGCAACTCTTATGGGAGGCGAGTGGTGGCGTGGTCTGGGGGCTGTAGGTAGGAGCTTGTAATCACTGTGTCAAAACTCCTGGGCCAGCATTGCCGAGCTCCAAGGTTCAAAGAAAGGCTTTAGCCACCGTCCAGGTTTTAGCCACCGTTGGTGGCTAAAACCTGGAGCGAATTGATGGCCTCAGCCAGGTCACCAATGACTGCACAAACAAATGTATATTTTTTAAAACCATTCAATTGGTTTGTTTGAAATCATGGGCAAGTTGTCGCCAGCATGCAACAATGTTCTCCCCCCATTATTCACGATTTAAGAATAGGTAATTGTCCTGCCAAAGTTGTGCGTTTGGAGTCTAAAGTGGCTGCGGAGCAATGACATGTGGTGTATACGTATCAGTGTCCCATGTTTCCGATCGATGTCTGAGAGAAGGGGTAATTTTCGACGACCGAAGACTTCTTCCTCGAGGCACATTGCCAAGGCGAGCAGAAACGAACGAACGCTGGTAACTCCAGTGCAAACGACGGCATGGAGAGAGGTGTATGCCTGGCATTACGTTGAGAGACCGAAAGAGGAGCGCACGCATCCACTGGAGACCATGCGCAAGTTCTAGCGAAAGCATATGGACTGTTACGAAAATTAAGTGGGCCGGTGCAACTAAGGATGGAGTGGCAGCCAAAGGAGAGAGAATCAGAATATGTATTTACAGTGGAGGAATCCGATGAGCTATACAGCTCTTTTTAACAGATGTCCAATAGGGGGCAGGTCAGAAAGTGGCAACAACAAGCAAAACAAAAATACGATAGGAGTGCAAGGTATAGGACAGGTCGGCAAATCACGAAATATATATAAAAAAATTAAATTATGCTACCAGGTAGGGCCTACTGCACTGTTAGCTTCTTTTTCAGACGCGACCTGGCCACAAATAATAATTCAACTAAGTGGCTTATCACGTGGAAATTTATAGCAGCCAAATTAATCTAAAGAATCTAGATTTGAGCGATGAGACCAGCTCGTGCGTGGGAGCTCCATGGATTTGTAGATGAGGACTGTCGACAGCTTTTGGAGGCCTTACTCCAGTAGCGGACAGATCATGGCTGCTCATATGCATCAGAAATAATCGATTCTGAAGTGCACAACACGATGCATGGCTACACGAGTGTGAGAATAGATTTTATTGAATATCCGTTGCAGCGATATACACCTGGTACCTAGGCCGTGTGGTTCTACACTGCCCTGTGCGAGACTGAAGCTTTATTGATTGAAAAAATACTGTCAATTGACTTTCAGACGCACCTCTGTAATGAAATCACCTTAAATTTTAGATTTAAAGCTTTCGAGACTGCAGGGATTCATATTCTTTGGTTCTTTCGTAAAAAGTCACGTAGAAGGGAAACAATAAAATAATAAAAATATAAAACAAAATATAAAAACGTCGTGAGAATTTAATTGTTTTAGATTTTTATTATTTTATTGTTTCCCTTCTACGTAACTTTACCGAAAGAACCAAGAAATCACCTTAGCTACATTTTTAAATGTGTGGCAGTCTGCTCGGAGCCTCAACAGCTCAAATCCAGGTTTCAGCCACCTGTGATTTAATTGGGTCCACTCATGTGGGTTGAGTTGATGGTTTCTGCCCAGTCACCAATGACTGCACTAAAAAAAAAACCCGCATCGCCGAAAATATGTTCTTCACTTAATTTCGTTAAATCGCAGGTCCTTACAATGAAAGACATTTGTGTGTCACGCAACAAACATTCCTCTGGTGAGCGGGAAGGTGCCATCCCCATCCATACTGCGCGGAACACAGGTGATTTTTGAAGGGATTTCAGAAGTAGTTCTGTGAAGTCTGCTTATGCGCGCCGTTGCCCAGCACTGAGGGTTTCACCGCTCTGCAAGCAATCAGAATGGATTCCTCCTTTCATAATGACACCGATAGCACAATCAGGATAGCATTGGGGGGGGGGGGTATACAACGTAAATATATTTGGAAATCACCTATAGTGATGTCTGCGGAGCGTACAGCAGCGTCTAAGTCACTTGAATGCATTTATTCGAAAATTATGACGCTTCGCAGTTGCGTCGGAGAACCTGCAGCACTGCTGTAGCACGTGTCTACAAGGCTAAAGCTTTTGAGCCGCCGCCTTCCTTAATAGTGGTCCTCGGCGTCGATTTTTTTATCGTGTTTCAGTGCTGTGCGCAGCTCACGTACGATGTTCAAAGCCATACGAAAAATCCTGGCAGCTTTCATTTTAAAACAGCTACCAGCGGCCTGGTGCTGTCCTGTTGCAATCCACGTGCGATTGGCGTTTGATATCGATGGCGTTTGAGAACCTGGGCTCGCGAAATAACACGCTGCGTTTTCCGTTTGGGCGTCCCTGTGATCCATTCCTGCGGATGGTTTTGAATGCGACACGTTTGGGAGGCAGACCAAACAAAGAGATCGTAACTACAACAAAAACCCTGTAAAGATGTTGCGTGAAGTTTTCGTGTTTCAACAGTGGTTCTGTCTATGCATAGTCAAGCAAGGCCCCTTTCAAACGTGATCAATGTGCCAGAAGTACAGGGATTAACGTGGCTTCGTTTCAACCAGGAGGTGTACACAGCTGCAGGATCTTAAATGTAAAGCCTCCGGTGTAATTCTGCATTCACACGGATTTGCCCCGATTTGTACCGCTGTATATCGCCGCCGTATGATATTCAAGCCATATTACGAATCCTGACGGTTTCGATTTAACAGACGAATCGGCACGAAGCCCACGATTCACGTTGAAAATAGAGTAAAACTCAAAAGTGTGCAAAAAACCGTGGAGAGGTAAATACTTGGACTTACTGCACGGCGAGTGACAGAATGAGGAATGCGTGGATGAGAGAACGTACGCGAGTTCGAATCTCTCAGAGTCGTTTGTGAAGCGGATCTTACAAAACTACTTCTGAGCAGCCTTCATCAAATGACCTCTGGTCCACACGGCGAACGGGTTGCGCTTTCCCACTTGCCCTGCTCGAGAGAACCGGTCATCACAAAACGGCCAAACTGACACATTTTATTTCATGCAGAGCTGAAAATTAGCCAAATGAAGTACTGAATCAAACGTGCAGGGCCAGACCATTCAACGTGATGGGATATGTTCTCTCTCTCTGCGCAGTCATTGGTGACCGGGCTGATAACATCATCTAGCCACACTCGATGACCCAGTTTAGTCCCACGTGGCTTGCCTGGGTTGGAACCCAGGGTCTGAGCGCTGCCAGCCGAGCCCTCTGACCTCCGACCCGCCAGACATTTCCTGTGTTATTATTTTGCCTGCACTCGAGAGCTGGTGCGTATCGCTGAGAAACACCCGCATGGATGCAATTGCACCTTAACGTTCGATGCTTAAAAACACAAACGACTCCCCAATTTTCAGTTTCTTCTCTCAAATACAGTACACCGCAGTTACATAATTATTTTGTTGTTAAAG